GTATAGAAGAAGATAAAGAAGTATGTAAAATCAAAGAACATAGATGCTCCATATAGGACAAATGCAGCCACATAAGATTAAAAGGTAAATAAGATTACATGACCATATCAAGTGACAGAAGGATGTAGCAGGCGATGCTTCTACTGATAGGGAAAACTATGAGCCCCATTAGGAAAGGGCAGCTCACACTGCAGGAGTGTTCATGCTCAGTAGGCAGATATATCAAGGCAGGACCCAAATGTGGGCTCTTATGTGAAATTTCCTCATGTTTTCAACACTGTTCAGACCAAATAATTTCAACCCCTAATTTGGAAGATGAGCAGTTCCTGCATAAGCTTGGCAGGGAAAACAAACAACCAGCTCCCTCTGGGCAATACTACTCCCTCCCATATACTGACCATCAAAGTAAGTCCCAGAATCATTCACTTTTACTCAATAGCAGTATAATAAAAAGAACTGGCATTTCAGTTTTGATAAAATTTGATGAATTTCAGCTCTACCCATTACTTTCTGTGTGGGTCAAGGCAAGGTATTTAAACTGCCTGAATTTCATATTCTCCTACTTGGGGATAGGGGAAAAAAAGACTATCTAGGCCACAGGGTTGCCTTAGGGATTGCTTGAGAAATCATGCACCGAGTTGTTAGTCAAAAGAAGACATTAGTCACATGTGAATCCCTTCCCACCACTCTCATTTTATAAAGACTACCTATAACTAACAACATAAAAACACAGTAAAACAGCCAAAGGATGATATCAACGGGAGTCAAAACCGGAAAAAAAAAGAAGAAGAAAAATCCAGAAGGTCTGCAAGGAGAGATACCATCGCACCCCAGGAATGGCTGTAAAAACTGGGCCCACCACAGACATCACATTCTTCAGCGGTTACCTCAGCTCTGAGCTAGGAAGCCGTAGGTGGCAGGACAGGATTCCTGCCTGTGAATGGGGCTCTGGCACCAAGCCCTTTACTACCACTGCAGCCAATCCTGCTTGCAACACCCTGTGAGTGCTGGGACATGCAGAGGCTGCAGAGCCACCCTGCAGCACGCACCACACTAGGAAGAGGTGGGACGCAGACCGGGCAGGGCGAGCAGGCAGATGAGGCCCAAACCACTTAAAGGAAGGGTAAGCTCTCGAACAAAAACAGCAGCCAGAGCGTGGAGGGTGCCTGTTGAGAGAGTACCCGAGACCACAAGCCACACCAGTCTCAGCATAAACGAGGTGGAAAGGACTCTCGCCCTGCACCCCGTCTATCAAGCACTGAATAAATGCGACTGTGCTCCTTCCACACGGGAGCTAGGACCCAAACCCTATTTGACTGTGCCACCACTTTGAAAACGTTCCTTGTTTTAAATGTCCCGTAGTGGATACATCCTCATACTGATGGGAGGAAATGGAGGGTCAGAAAGCTAGAAAGCAACATAGCTGAAAGGGAATCTGGATGGTCAAAGAGCCAAATCCTCGCTTTTTATGTGACACTGTACATGGCCAGGGGTCAGGGATTTCTTCTAACCTAAGCTGGGAAAATGTAATTTTAAAAGGCCAAGCATTAAATGATATGCTTAACAAAACCTTGCAGCAGTCGTTATCTCTCTCCACCTCCCGCCCTCTTTCCCCTTCCTGTAACAGGCATTTTTGTGAAAGAGCTGCCAGAAATTGCTGCCTCCACTTCCACTTCCTTACCTCACAGCATTACTCAACCAACCCACTGTCAACAGGCTTCTGCCCCCAAGCTGCTGCTCCCCCACCAGCACCGCTGCTGCTCCCCCGCACACACACAGAGAGAGAGAGAGAGACACAGAGACACACAGAGAGAGAGACAGCACATACTAGGGAAGATAAAGAATGGCCTCTCTGTTACTGAGTCCCATCAAGTAGTATTTTGCTGTCCTATGTCACTTGACTTCCCCACAGATCAAAGCTACTCACAATTCCTCATTTCTTCAAGACTCTCCTGATTTTACCGGACATGACTCTTTTCTGATAATCTGCCCCGCTCTCTGGCCACTCCTTCAGGCATTCCCCTTTCACTAGAACTGTGTCATCAGCCCTCTGTTACTTTTCACTGCACTGTGATTGTCCCTGGACAATCTCATCTATTCCCACAGCTTCTTCTATCACTCATTTTATGCAAGTCTTATATTTTTTAGAGAGAGGAAAAAAAAAAAAAAAAACAAAGGCAAAAAAAAAAAAAACAAGTCTTACATTTGAAGAACTTCATCTAGAGAAAGTAATTTTTAAAAAGAGGGAATTCTTGTAAGCCACCACAGCAGAATAAAACATATCCCAATAAACATATCCCATATCAAATATTAAATTTGATTCTAGAAAATCCAAATATCATGTCTGAATAAGTTAAAATCCCACACCTTCCATATAATTTCATTAAGAATTAAGGAACCCAGGGGCTGGGGATTTAGCTCAGTGGCAAAGCGCCTGCCTGGCAAGCGCAAGGTCGTGAGTTCGGTTCCTGGTACCGGAGAAAAACCAAAAAAAAAAAAAAAAAAAAAAAAAGAATTAAGGAACCTGGGAATATAGATCCTCCAAAACTGTAAGTTACCAGCCAGATCTTGTGTTTCTAAATTATGCACCCAATTTCAAAGGAAGGAACTCAGAAATAAATCATGTAGATCATTAAGCAGTGCCCACCAGTTCCAGAGGTAGAACTCCCCCAAAATGCACTCTGCATTAAGCTATATGAAGTAGAGGATAAAGACTGTGTGTTTTATGAACTCTTCCCTTACTACTGAAAACTCATCCATTATATTACAATGAGATACTAGATGGTTTTTACACCTCTTCTGTGTGTTTTTAACCTTTTTAACTTTCAGGTATAATTTATATGATCTAATTTTCATTCATTTTTAACTAAACAATTCAGTGTTTTTTAAGTGATTTTTAAAATGCGTGCAACCACTCTCATAATGTACTTTTCGTCATCCCAGTAGATCCCTCACTACCTTTTGTGCTTAACCTCCACGCCCACCTCCAACCCCAGCAAATAATGCAATTTCTGCCTCTATAGATTTGCCTTTCCTGAATACTTCAACTAAATGGAATATGGTCATTTGTCTGGCTTCTTTCCCTTGCAGAAGTTTCTGAGGTTCAGTCATTTGATAGCTATATTTCTTTTTATGGCTCAGTAGTATTCCACTGTCTGAGGAGACCATTTATCTATTCACCAAGCTGTACTTAGGCTCATTTTGCTTTTAACTGTCATGAATAATGCTACCATAAACATAGGAATACAAGTCTTTACATGGGCATATGATTTCATTTCTCTCTGCAGAGAGATACCTAAGCATAGTCACTTGCTTATATGATAAAGTTATGTCTAACTTTTAAAGAAATTGTCGAACTGGTTCCAGAGTAGCAGTGTCTGTTTAAATTGTCTCCAGCAATGTTGGAAATCCTTACTTCTGCACATCTTTGGCAATATCTGTTATTATCTGTAGTTTTTTCTTATAGCCATTTGGAAGATGTGAAATAGAAAGGACTCTAGGAGCCTTATCTATGCTCTGCTAACAAGACAAAATACTTCTCAGTGCCTGCTATTTACCACATACTACACCGATTCAAGGAAAGGCATAGCTAGGGTATTTAAATCCTCCAAAGAGCCAAATTGATGTGGAGAAGAGAGGCTGTCTAGCCACAGTACCCCTCATTTTTTCTATCACTGTGTCCAGCATTTTAACTGCATGTACAGTGTGTAAGAGAGAGGAACACAGTAATAGAAAAGAACAAAAGTGCCTTTCTGTTTACTAGAAAGCCCTGCTGACTCCAAAACTATGAAGAGACAAAAGCCAGAAGTTTGTTTTGCACTTAGACTCGGTTACTTGAGGTCTCTCTGTAGCAGTGTGGTACAGAAGTGGCAAGACTGAGGCGACATGAAAGTCCCACGGGGTTTCATTTCCTGAGAAACACTGTGACTTCCCTTCCGGAAAACTCTGTTATAAGCACATTTTACTCTGGCTGCCCACTTTACAGAACAGTTCCCAGTATTTCTTCTGTATTTGGACCACACCTAAGAGAAGCCCGAGAACAGGAGAAGGACCTGGACGTGGAAAGAGGGATCAAGGACATGCACCACAACGTCTACATCTGAACTCAGCTCTTCTTCACAGAACTGCTGTCAAGCATCCGAGGTTCAGAAAAGTGAAGTTACTGAGCCAAAATCATATACCAGACACTCAAGTCCAGCTATATACTTTTGGGCCAAACTTAGAGATTCGATGAAATACAGTCTGCACACAGTACAGGAGCTTAAAAATAAGTACTCAAATAATACTACATTCTTAATGGGAATTCATGTGCAGAAGATTATAAAGTCATGTAAATTTGAGTCATGATAGATATTTTATAGGGCTGTCAGTCTAACTCCAGAAAGGTCATCTGATTGACTGAAGTCATACAACTAGCTGGAGTACAGGCAGAACTAGAAGCCCACAGATTTCAAGAATAGGGTGTTGAATGTCTCTAAGATTATAAAGCACTCAGTGTTGATCTTTTTTCAAAAAAGGCAACAATCTCCAAGTGTACACAAGTCCCATCATATATTCATTTAGTTGTATGTGTTCAGATCAAAAACATAAGCAAAACAAACAAAAATGAGATAAACCAGGAACAGAAAGACTAACAAGCTAATGTTTCTGAGTGCATTCTTGAAGCCAGTTTCTATGAAATGCTTTATGGACTGTTCCACATAATTCTTATGATAATCCATAGAATTATTATTATCATTCCTACTCCAGCAAGAAGGACATGGAGTCACAGAGATGCTGAGTAAGCCCCTCAGGGTCACACAGTGGCATCTAGATAGATCGCTCATACAGAAATGTCCCACCCTGCACGGCAGGCTGGAAGGGGATACAAAAGCAGACTGCACCCCTGCGGCACAGGTGTTCACAGCCGGAGCGTGTGTTCTCAGATAACTGACAGATAACACATGCAAAACTCTTCTCAACTGTTGGTTTTTTTTCTCCTTTTCTCTTTTTCTCTCTAGAACTCAAAGCAGGGCCCACCCAGGCGGAACCCATGCCTCAGTCACCCCCGAGTGTTCCCTGACATGCACCTTTGCTCACAGTGCATCACAACTGAAGAATGGGGCTCAACCTGACCCTTACAAAGCCACCAAGTAAGCCGGGGAAAGAAAACCTGTACAAATCAGCATTTATCCCTATTGTTTATTAAGTGGAAAGTAGCAAATACAAAGCCAGGTGTGGTGGCACACACCTGTAATCCCAGCACCTGAGAGGCTGAGGCAGGAGAATCGCAGCGAGTTCAAGGCCAACCTGAGCTACATAGTGAGACCGTGTCTCAAAAGCAAACAAACAAAAAGCAAATATGAAGGATGGCAACTGAGGCTTTTAAACTTTGTTCCATCCAGCCATCATCTCATCTCTAGAATGACAAGGATTAAATTAATAACACTGGAGAAGATTTTCAAACTCAAAGTAAAATGCATATTTTTCTGAGGAGTCAATAGGCTAAGCCAAGGTTCACTGAGACAAAAGACAACATCTACCTGCTCTACTGGTAACTATTGAGAAAATGATCTATGCTGGCCACTAGGCCATGGCAGTGACACCCTGCAATTTATATGACTTTATTATTTCATTCCCACCTAGCAGGTAGAGCGGTGACATAAGTGGATACTGCCACATTCTGTGCCAAGGACAGACATGCACCAGTGAGCAATCATGTACAGCTTCACCAATGGTAAACGTGCCAGGGTTCTTCACCACTCCGATCACTCAGTGTGATGATATCTAGACCAACTGTAATAAGCATATTACGCTTAGAGTAAATAGACCCTACCAAGTACGAGGAACTGTAATCAAAGCACTGGTAATCCAGCAAAATATCCATTTTCCATTCCATCTTATAAAGCTATTAAGTGACTAAACATGCATATATTCCTTTCCTCTTTTATAAAGGTAATAAGTGGCTAAACCAGTATTATTATATAGGACTTTCTACAGTAAAGGAAATTCTCCCTATCGGCATTGGCCAATATGATAGCCACATGCAACCAGTGAGACATGTGAATATGGCTACTCCAGGAGAGAAACTGAACTTTTTTGAGCTTAGTCATAATGTAAAATTCAAAATCACAGGTAGCTAATACTGTGTCTGGTTATGATTCCAACGAATTCTTTCAAAAGACACATGTGCTTACACAGGAGCACATACACATTTCCTCTGCAAAAACAGCCGCAGCACTCTAACCCCTACCCACACATGATATTACCCTCCTATGTGGCACAAAATACTTTATTACGGAACTAGAGTTCTATGTGTCATTGTTATTGATAATTTAATTTTAAAGGAGTTGAGGGAAGCTGGGGGAGAATAATAAATGAGTTTTTATTCTCTAAGCGGCCACTCTGTCTTAAGTCCTGCACTAAGCAGTACGAGTAATACCATCTTAACAAATAATATATGAGAAAAAAAGCCTTCATGTAGTAGAAACACTCATTCTTACTTGAACTGCGAAGCTATCATCATTAAAAACATTACATGTGAAGAACATGATACAACTGCCTCGTTGAGGAAAGCCATTAAACTTTTAATGACTGATGTTCCTGAGTGGGAACTCTGAACAGAGAAGTGATTCTGAACACTCCCAAAAGTTCTGAAAAGTGTGGGCCCATTTGGGGCCATGATGGAGAAGAAATGTTGGCAGTAACTGGCAAAGAAGTAACGTGACATAGACATAACTCCAAAACTAAATCAATCATCCAAAACCCTCCACAGTCTTGAGCCATTCAGAGCAACACGGAGACGGCTCATCCTGCTCCTTAGAAAGCACTTTTTTCTACCACCACATTATTTCACAAAACAACTCGTAATAGGCTTTAGCCGCTGATTTGTTTAAGCTACGTCGTAAATGAAGTAATATTTATGCCTAGGCTTCTCTCATTTAAGGTAAGAAGTTCTGTATTCCCAGATGTTAATCCCAGACATAAACTAAGGAAGCAAATACCGCAAGATAGCACAATCGTCAGACTGTCCTAAAGCTGCAAAACGGTTCATAACCACTGTGGGATGAAGCCACTCATGCTGGTATATTTTATTTATAAGACAGAATATGCATACAAGCTTCTTTTGACATTCTGACTTAGGCTTTATTTTAATAATAATCATAATTGCTAGATAAATTATCGCTTAATAAGAGTGCTGGTTCTTGTAATTAAACATTGAAGCATCATAATAACACACTGTACAGACACACGATCCCTAAGGAATACTGGAATGGAGGGATAGGTTCTGCCGTTTCACGAGAATTTGCACATAGATCCAGGGAACCAAGAGTTGCGACACATCATGCCTAGTGCACAGCAGCTGGTGAGCTATTCTATTTGCCTTTACAATGGCTTTAAACATCAATGCATGAGGACTGCAATTGTTTCAGGATACAGCCATCATTTCGGGAGATTATGGAGCTTCTCCTTTTCAAGCTGTGTTTCTCAGTTGAAACGTTTTATTCTGATTAAAATTTAACTGCTCTCTACTTCCCGGGACAGACTATTCTGAGTATAATGAAAGTTACTGCTAATACTTAGGCTAGACAAATTAATCTAACCAAGTATCTAAACTCAGTTAAAACTGCACTTCTTAGGAAGCTTCTAATGGTTTTGATACTGAGTTAGATCTTCTGGAACAGAAACAGCCAAGACTACAACACGTATTAAATTAAACAGGCTCAAATAATAACATTTAAGACAAAATTTGAAACTGGCAGCAGAAATATAGGTAGCAGCTGAATCAAGCGTTTGTAACTTGTAAAGCTTAGTAATACTGTAGGCCTTATAACAGGCTTGTCCAGGTATAAATTACTAGTCTATGTAAGGATATTTAAGCCAGGAAGACCAGTTTTTAAAAACACAGCAAGGAATAAAAGGAAAAGAATTAGAAAGAGGACAGGCTACTCAGGAAGAACCTGGACTTACATGTCAGGCAGCAATTTAAGAATCTGCTTTTGAATTATTATCATCAAAAGTATCTGCCTTGTTCCACTTCTGCAAAGAATGGTACAAAGAATAAACTGCTTGTCATGTACGGAAGTGGCTAAATCGTTAGTGAGAAGTAAAAATCCAGAATTGGCTCTCCTTCAAACTTTACTTGTAAAAGGTGAATTTGTAAACTAAGTTCAGGTTCTCCCCCCCCAAAAAACAGCAGATGAGGAAAACAGTAACCCATGGTTAAGAGATTCATGGGAGGAAGTGCCTGCATCGGGACAATGGGGAAAATCAGGAGGCTTCAACAGCCTTCCAACCACCTGCGGGAGCGGGGCTGGCGGGGAAGGAACTAAGGTTGAGTAGGAAGAGTTACAATGCACTGTAATTTGAAGAGAATTTCAACCAGGCGCTCAGCAGCCCTCCAGCCAGTCATGTGCAAGAGGAACTGCTCGACTGGCAGGAACAGGCTTGTCCGAGCTTCCCTGCCTTGCGCAGTTACGAGCTGGGAGTGGTCCTGGGGAAAGGAGGCATCAGCAGAAAGTGGAGGCAGACCCAGAGCACACTGCAATAAGCAGCCTATCCACCGCACTCCCTGCACTTTCCACAAAAGGAGATGTGAGAGGCCACTCTCACGGCTGCCACACGAACCAAATGCTCCTCAAGTATTCCACTGATTATGAGATAAAGTAGTAAGGCAGTCACCTTTAATCACATGAACCGAAAATTCCAAAAATGCACAAGATTTTTAAAAGCTCATAATAAACACAAGAGGCATGATCTAGACTTGTACACAAGAAAAATATAGCAAGCCTGCAATAAATTTAACAATTACCTTCCTGTGTAATAAAAATATTAAGAGTGAGAAAACAAAATCAGCATTTTTCACTGGACTACATAGAAACATTTACTTGAAGAGCCTCAACTAAACAGATTACATTTCCCTGAAAAATGCACTAGACGGTGTATAATACTTAAAGATGATTATAATCCACACAACAGGTTATCTGCAGTAATTTCACACCAACCTACAACTTAAATTCTACTAAAGTGAAAATGCACCTAAAAGAATTGCCAAGTCAGATCTACATCTACCTTTGACTTTGTCTTATTTTAGAAGACAGCAGATTTTCTTTTCACTTAGAGAAGGACCAACATATTTTATTTGTATTCCTAGCTAAAGTTCCTAAAGAAGCCTCAGTTAAGGATGTCATGGACAAAAATTCAAAATGACCCACTAATTTTATTCCTTTCCAACTCCTGATGATTTGCATCCTTGAACTGTGGTGGAGGGAGTGTACCAAAGACTACCATGAAATGATTACCACATCCTGTTCTATTTTCTTGTTACAAGAAATTTCAATTTTCTGAGTCAGGTTTTGTTGGTTCGATAAGGATACAAACAGTGAATTAAAAATCAGGACAATTTACATTGACATATTTATTTTCCAAAGGCTGTTAAAAAAAAATAGCACTTTTTACTCTAAGGATCCTGGTGTGTGGGGAGGGAGATCACTTTCGATTGCTGAGGAAATCTTTGAACTCATGCAAAATAAGAACAGTTCAGCTGGGAGCTTGGTGGGCGGTGGGCCGTGCAAACCCAGCACTGAAGTATTGTCTCTCCACTTCTGCAGATAATGAACTGCCCAGCCACGGAAGTACAACTCCAAACAATACAACAGACGGACCCGGAAAAAACACCACCCTTCACAACGAGTTTGACACTATTGTCTTGCCTGTGCTTTACCTCATTCTGTTCATAGCAAGCATCTTGCTGAATGGCCTAGCAGTGTGGATCTTCTTCCATATTAGGAATAAAACCAGCTTCATATTTTATCTCAAAAACATAGTGGTGGCCGACCTTATAATGACGCTGACATTTCCATTTCGAATAGTCCATGACGCAGGATTTGGCCCTTGGTTCTTCAAGGCTATCCTGTGCAGATACACCTCCGTTCTCTTCTACGCGAACATGTACACTTCCATTGTGTTTCTCGGGCTGATAAGCATCGACCGCTATCTGAAGGTGGTGAAGCCATTCGGGGACTCTCGCATGTACAGCGTAACCTTTACAAAGGCTCTATCTGTTTGCGTGTGGGTGGTCATGGCCGTGCTGTCCTTGCCAAACATCATCCTCACAAATGTTCAACCAACTAAGGAAAATATTCATGAGTGCATGAAACTCAAAAGTCCTTTGGGAGCCAAATGGCATAAGGCAGTCAGCTACGTGAACAGCTGCTTGTTTGTGGTTGTGTTGGTGATTCTGATCGGATGTTACATAGCCATATCCAGGTACATCCACAAGTCCAGCAGACAATTCATAAGTCAGTCAAGCCGAAAGCGAAAACACAACCAGAGCATCAGAGTGGTTGTGGCCGTGTTTTTTACCTGCTTTTTACCATATCATTTGTGCAGAATTCCTTTTACTTTTAGTTACTTGGACAGGCTTCTAGATGAATCTGCGCACAAAATCCTCTATTACTGCAAAGAAATGACGCTTTTTTTGTCTGCGTGCAATGTGTGTCTGGACCCAATAATTTACTTTTTCATGTGTAGGTCTTTTTCAAGAAGATTATTCAAGAAATCAAATATCAGGACCAGGAGTGAAAGCATCAGATCACTGCAAAGCGTCAGAAGATCAGAAGTCCGCATATATTATGACTATACTGATGTGTAGCGATACTGTATCTTGTTTGTTGGAATCAGTATGTACAAAGTGTAAATAAATGTTTCTTTGCATTTTCCTTGCTGGAATCTCTCAAAATATGGATTTGAGAACAGAACTAAAATGACATGAAATTGAGGCATAATTTGGAACCAAGAAAAACATGAAAGCACAGCAACAAGTGGGGTAAGTGAGAGGGCATCTGCGGCTGCACGGTGGGGCTCAGGACACTCAGCTGAGGGAGCAGAGGGAAGACCCAGAAAGAGCCTCAGCCACAAGCACAGCAGAACACACCTACTACTCTGCAGTCCTGGCTCTGAGGAGGCTGACTCAGGAGGACCACAAGTTTGAGACCAATCTGGGCAAATTAATGAACACCTATTTCAAAATTTTAAAAAATTAAAAGGGTTGAAAATATAGCTCCATGGTGCCCAGATGCATATAAAATCCCAATGCCACAAAAGAAGGGGGCTGAAGTTTTGGCAGTGCCCTGCACTTCTTCAGGCTGTGCAGCGGCTCTGGAGTCACTTTTGTGGGGAATAGAAGGAAAGAGGCAGACTAAGGAGCCTTGCGGGTCAAGATTTGGGGGGAAAATGCTATTTTCAAACCAGCTCATTTCCTGCAGATATACCTGAGTAAATACTGATTACTACACTTTCTGTCCCTCCATCTACAAACTACGCACACCTCACTGCGTTTTTCCATGTCTTATGCACCTAAGAAAATTTGGTGTGGGAATATGTAGAGGAAGAGGAAATTCTTTAGAAATTTTTAAGCAATATATTGAAATTGTCAGGTTCATCTGATTTTAAATAAGCTATTTCAGAGAAAACAATGATTGAATATTAAGAAAGGCAGAGTCTGGATATAATATTCTTTTTTCTTTTTTGGTCTTTTTGAGACAGGGTCTTGCTATGCAGTTCAGGCTGGTCTTGAACTCACTTTGTCACCTAGGCTGTTCTCGAACTCACAATGATCCTCCTGCCTCAGCCTCCCGAGTGCTGGGTTTACAGGCGTGCACCACTATGCCAGGCTAATGTTCTCAAGTTATGTTTGCCATCATTATATTTTTACAATGCCTTTAAATATCGATGTGCTACGGCTAGAGAAGAAAAATGGGGGCTGAGCTAATAACTATATTTACTTCATCAAAGAGCTGTTTAATATTTAATAGTGTTTTTATTTTAGAAAAATGATTAGCAAAATATTCTTCCCTATAAGCCTTACTTAACCTTGAATATGGATATCATTAATGTAAAAATATAAAGTGAATGAATGAAAAATGTAAAGTGAATGACAAAGTTCATTAAGTCAAACAGCCTAAGAGTGGCTAGGCATGAGGGTGCGTGCCTATACTCCCTGCTATTCAGGAGGCTGTGGCAGGAGGATCACATGTGAGGGCCTGGGTTCAATCTACAGCACAACCACCCTCAAAAAAGTTCAAGTGTAACCTTTTAAATCTTAGACTATCGAGCCATCTTCTTTTTCAAAACCATCAGCTATATGAGCACTGAAGAGCCTGATTTGTTCCTCACACGATATTAGAAGTATTAACAGAGGAAAAAGATGTTGCTAACAGAGACATTACAGGCAACACACACACACACATATAACACACACATACAACACACTACAGTATTTCCTTTACACTCGTGTAACCCATCTGCAAAATATAAATGAGAGTGAGTAAAGGTGAGGGTGTAAGACTAACAGTGCAACAGTGATTACCACTGGCAGGTCTGGAAACTGCCCTGACGGACAGGAACAAGATTCTAGCAACAGGGTTCAAGGACTGTGCTCCAAAGCGTCTACTAGGCAAGTCAGCTTGGGCAGAGAAGATGGTGACGCAGGGGCTAAAAGACCTCTCTGACAATTTCTATCGAAATATCTATCTCTCCCAACTGTGTGCCGGTAGAGACAGGCATATTTTTAGACCAACTAATGAGAAAAGGCTGTGTAAAAGGATACAACCAGAGAGTGCGCAGGCCCATCCACGGCTCCCCTGCGAAACAGGGCAGCATCACAGCCTGAAAAACACCCTAAGTACAACCCGGCCTACTCTCTCCCCATCCTGTTTCTCCCCCATGCCACAGCTCCCACTCAAAACTTTCCAAAGCCACTTGACCCGCTGTGATACTTATGGACGCTGCTGAACGCACAGCCTTCCTGGAACCCAAAGACTAGGAGCAGCCTCTCTCACAGCACTGACTCCATTTAGCCCTCCGGGCCTTCCACCGAGACCTCGCCTAACCCTCTGCTTCGGGCCTCGGTTCTCAGAGGTGTTTATAATACTTTAAAATTCACCTCAACACTGTAAAAATTGGATAGCTGTATAGTAATTAAGCATATTTAATGCGATGGTAGTCTTATTTTTCTGAAATGACTTTACTAAATTAATGGAACATCTTACAACATTGACCTAAAAAATATAACATGTCACCCTATTCACATAATAAAACCACTCAAAATCACACTGCTTATATTTTACACCAACTCTTACACTGTGTAACAGAAATTTATAAAGACCAACAAAAAAATCATTTAAGTGAATAAGATAGCAACAATAGGAATACTATAAAAATATAGCACTCACGCCAAAAAACACCACATAAGTATTTCAGGAAGCGTGAAAAATCTAAGAATTTAATTTGTTTTTAAAAATTAACTGATAATTTGGAAATAATATCAAACAGGGAACATAAAATTTCTTACAGCTTTTGGGTTATACACATTGAGTAGTCCTTATCCAAAATGTCTAGGACCAGAATTGTTCCAGACCTCAGGTTTCATAGGATTTTGAAATATTTTTGCACATCTAATAAGCTACCTTAGGAATATTCCCAAGCCTAAGCACAAAATTGACTTATGTCTCATATACACCTTTCACACATACCCTGAAGGTAATATTATGCAACTTTTTTAGTGTGTCTACGATTTGACTGCACTCTGTCATGAGATTAGCTGCAGAATTTCCAGTTCTGGTATCTTGTCAGATTTCTAAGCACTGCCGATTCCAGATTTTTGGATTAAAGATGTTTAACATAGAGTCAGTATTTCAGGATCTTCTCACAGAGCAATAAATACTGTATTAATTCTTCAGTTCATTCAGAAGAGACACATTCAGAGAATCTCCACAGAGAAATTTTAGTATTCTTCATTAAACTCATACTCAGAGAAATTGATCTTACAGAAAATCTTTCAATTTGTGTATTACTGAGTATGCTGTAACTATTATACCACTTCATTAATATTTAATTTTCATTTCCAAATTACTGTACCAGTATTTTATTTCTCAGCTAAAGCTTCACAGGAGTAGTGTGTAAGAAAATGCATAAATATGGCTTATAAGCAAGGCAAAATATGTGTGTGCACACAGTAGAGTACAGCTTTAACATAAAGAGATTGAAAACTCACCAGGGGAAATGTGATACACACTAAGAAAAATTAATCTTAAGAAAAGGACAGGGGCCAGGGATTTAGCTCAGCGGCACAGCGCCTGCCTGGCAAGCGCAAGGATGTGAGTTTGATTCCCGGTACCAGAAAAAAACAAAAAAAAACAAAAAAAAAAAAAAAGAAAAGAAAAAGAAAAGGATAATATAAAGCTAGGGATCACAAAACTTTTGTAAAGAATTTTTTTCCCCAACTAGCCACTACTAGAAGCCAACAAATTGAATATTTATGAGGCATATTATCATATAAAAAACACACTGATATCAGTATGATACAAAACAAAACCATCTTGGGATATCCCTGTCTTCCTAAGATCAAACATTTTAAAACTTTACAAGCATCTAGTAGATGCTGAATTTAGCCTACTCCCTAGCCATCTGTCACCATCTAGTGGCAGAATTCATAAAACAAGTGAAGAACAATTTTCTCTCCTATTTATACCAAGTGACTACACACAAGACTGCACAGTCCTTTGCTAAGTTTTGTAAATATGCTATACTTTTTATTTTCTAAATTTGAGTTACTGTCCAACATTTTATTCTTTGTACTTTCAAAGCAATCGGAGACATCCAAGTTCCTTTCCTGTGATGTTTCTTGCCAGCATCACTTTCGCTAAACATCTCACCCCACCCCAACTTTCTGCACTAATGCCTGTTTGTCTGCCTTGCTAAGTTCATCTGGCTGCACACCTAGTGGCTCACCTTCCCACAGTCAGTAGATAATTTTTCTGCATTGCCACTTTTTAAATTTCACTTCCTACATGACTGCTTTTCATTTCTTTGATACGTGTTCAGGTTTATTGGTCAGCTTTGTCAATCAATTTGTTTTTATTAAATGGCACGGTGTTGTCACTAGCAAATGAAAAGGTAACACAACTACACATTTTGCTCCCTGTATTAATCACTTTCCTGTCACTGAAACAAAACTTAAAGGACAAGACATTTATTTTGACTCGTGGTTTGCGGAGATTCAGTACACGGGAAGCTGGCTCCAAGGCAAAAACACCATGGCAGAAGGGCATGGCAAACAAGGGACAGAGAAAGGAGAGAGGAGTCCGACTAAGGACATACTCTCCAGATGCACATCCCCAGCAACACACCTCTTCCAATCAGGCTCTACTTCGAAACAGCACATTTAGCTATGAATTCATCAATGGACCAATTCACGCGGATGAATACAACTCCCAAATTGTCCAGGTATCTCCTAAATGCCCCACTTCTGAGTATGCGACACTTGGGGAAACATTCTGGATCTAAACCCTAACACCTTCTGAATGCATCAACTGAGTAACCAATCACACAGATTTTGAAAGAAGTGACATGACTGGCACTCAGGTACTATACATTACTTACATAATACCTGAGGAGCTGAAGAGCTAACAGTTAAGTTCGTACTATATCCAATTATTCAGTTAATGCATTGTGGTAATGGAAGTGTGAACCATGTTGCTGGGAGGCTACTACTCCTGTGTTTAACTACGTCATGACGAACTGAAGACGTGCGTGCGTGAACTCTGAAACCAAGGGCTGCCTATGGGCATGTATAACACACACAGTATGCAGGAGAAGTAAAGAAATGTACTAAATGCTATATGATGTAATTTGCAAAAAGATACAACTATTTTAAGAA